GGGGGGGAGACGTTCGAATAACCTCGGCAAACAAGTTAAAGCAAAATTTGGCGAAGCAGAGAGGTTTGTGTGACAGATCGATGGACTGCCCAGGAGGCAAGGAAGCCAATACACAAAGGACTGGGATGAAAAAGGAGAAAGCGAGATCAACCGGCAAATTCACATGAACAAATCAAATAGGCGCACTGGAAGGGGAGCTTGATCAACGTGGCTGGTACATTGCAGGCTGATTCGGTTGAGTGAAATACGATTGTGGGTCGGTCGGGCCGGATTTGGGCGGCCAACCGCCCATTCCAGCACCGGGTGTCTGTCCCGGATAGGTCACACCGCCTGGTGTGAACATCGAGGAGGCCGACGAAAGCGATGACTGCGGATGCATTGAACGCGGTGGTTGCACGACAGATGAGGCAGGTGGAGGCAGAGGCGGTGGTGGTACTGGACCACTAGGATAAGAACCGAATGGAGGGTGCATAGTCGAACCGGGCTGAAAGGTTGTTTTTTGTGTAGCAAAAACCGAGAGATGAATTAGTCAGTCAGAGGCAAGAAGCTGAAGCAATAACACATTATTATGTAACGATTGACGCATAGAGAGATTAGCCAATACAAACAGAACATGATGCAGTCACTATACATGGAATAGACTGTATTGATAAAAATTTGATGAACTACAACCAAATCGCTGAGTGGAATTGGGACACAAAATAAGCGGGTCAAGTAGCATTGTTTAGACCGACTACGGAGAGACATCGTGTTTGGACTGTAAAAGATTGGTAACCGCAAGTGCGGCTTGAACCAACGCCGGGCGGATTCCATGTGTGCGTTCGAATACTACTGATGCTACTGATCTTTTGCCGATTTCATCGCACAAATTAAATCATCATAAATCATTTCGCAACATGACAGTTGGCAAATATAGACAGCCGTGAGAAGATGGGATGGACGAAACCGGTGACTGCAAGCGAGAGGACAAATACATTAATACTACTCGAAATATCTCGTGGAGTAGTTATGCAATTTAAGGACGACAGAAAAACAATGATCACGTCATACGCCGCTTTTGATACATTCAGTGAGCAAGTATAAAAAGTGCTGGTATTAGTAACGAGGTTTAATAAAAAAGAATCACTGATAGTAACCAGAACGATTAGACTGGTCTAATTAGGAAAAATAGAGGAGGAAGGATGCATTTTAGTATAAAAAATCAGTCTGACAATTCTAGGTCTGACGGATGCGTTTCCAGAAGAGGGTTCTATTGCAAATCAGGAGCCTATTTTGCAATGGATGTGTATACGGATCCTTGGAACCTCATGAGTGCTAAACACCAAACAATGACACAAATAAAATTATGGTTGGAAAGTTAGAAAGTCAGAGTAAACTGTTCCTAATTTCGGAAAGATTTCCTCATCTGTCAGTTAACTAGCTGACTGCAAGTGGAATTCCGGGGGTGATGAAACTGTCTAACCTAGAGGTGTGTAGAGAACCAGGCTTTTGATAGTCCTGATGGAGTTCACGATAGATTAAATATTAAAGAAGTACATCCCGTATTGCGCTGTCTCGAACACTCAAGGATTCAGCAACATTTGTATATTGTGCGTAGTCCCGGATATCGATGCTACTGCGTTGGAATAGTTTAGATAAATTGTTTCACAAACTGTAAAAATTTCACCTCGGCTGGTGATGAAACGTTTGCAAGCAAATTGCCAATCTTGGAGAACAGACCAGAATGGGTTGGCCCAGCCCCCAACCTCACTCCAACTGGAAACGTAGTAGAGGAAGTGAACAAATGTTGCTATTTGGGCAGCTATATCTCACAGGGCGGACGCGTCACAGATGAAGTGTTGGCACGAATACAGAAGACTCGATTGGTATTTGCCAACCTGAGACGTCTGGGGTGCCGTTACGACATCCGGCTGGCTGTGAAGGGTCTAGTATATGCTNNNNGCAGCAGTTCGACCGGTGCTGCCATAAAGTGCAAACTTGGCCATTACGGAAACAGGATAAAACTAGGCTGTTGATGTTCCAACACCGTTGTCCACATCGCATTGTACGAGTCTGGAGCAAGTGGTCGACCCACATAGATTACGCTGGTTGAGACATGTGCTGCACATGTCACCAAGTAGGTTGCCACGGCGAGCGATGTTTGCCGAGGCAGGAAGCAGTTGGAAAAAGGTCAAGGCGGTCAAACTAAGACCTGACACGAGGGTATGAAAACCCTGACTAGGACACTGGGTCGCACAAGTACCGTTAGGTTACCTGGATGGGGACTCCGAGATCATGCTAACCGGTGGTTAGAGAGAGAGAGACTGAGAGCAAACAGTGGCGTTCATGCATCTACCCATTATTTCTGCAACTTCAGTTCATATGAATTCTCTATCTTTAATCTGCTTTTTTATCCCAGTGAACTGAAACTGAACAGACGAAAATGGATTCGCGTCACCCGAGCTACGAGAACCGATTTTCAATACTTTGTCAATCAAAGCTGTGCTACGGTTCTGTGATCTACTATCCAGTACTGTGACTCTGTTATCATTCTACAGGCTCCAGATATCGTTCACAATGTTAGTCAAAACGTCGTGCTTTTTAGTACTTCTGGCATCAAGACATGTCGGAAACGTATAAGAGCTGTGGTTTGGGCTCCATTTTCATTTGTACTGTCTGCCCCATTTGCGAAATTACGGCATCATCCCTCGAACATCACAGTGCTTTAATACACAAATTTATATGTCCCTGACTAATCCAGCCATTTCCACCCAAAAAGATATGATTTTACAATCCATGTCTCTCGCGGACGGAATATTTTCATGATGGCGAGATGGTGAAAGGAAATGTCCGAGTTGATGGGCGAAAAACAGTCGAAATATCCCTTTATCAATAACACCACTGTGTGGTGGGCAGTACAAAACGGGTACCCACATTTCAGTGATGAGAACCTGGGACCAAAACCGTGGAACTTGGAGTGGTAAACATGAGAACGAGCCTCAAATAGGATAGGTGTCGTGTTAAGTTAGACGACAGCCAAAATTGGGCGGAAAAATAGGGATTGAATGACTAACTTTGATGCTCGGAGCACGCCGGCGACAGGAAAAGTAAAACACCGGACTACAACCATCACCCAGTTAGAGAAAAATTCTGATTTGCGGATATGGGAAATGGTAACGGATGGTTGAATTTCATCACAAACAATTTAGTAAGTTTCGTGTTGGCAATCAATTCCCAGTGAGTGTTCCTCCAAAACAGACCCTGGAGATATGTAGCGGTGTTACTGGATCACGCAGATTCGAACAAATTATCAAGTTACTATTACAAAAAATTACAATTATCCACTCACCTGTGATCCTGCCTGACTTGCATTTAATGATTGGGATTGCATACTCGGTGGCCCAGTGACGCGTGGAGGCATTTGGCCAACGGTAGGCGGTGGTGGTTGGATAGACGGGTGCGAGATACCCGATTGGTCAGTGTTCCCAAGTGTGGACGGAGGGNTTCAAGCCAGCACTACTACTTGCCGGAGGAGGTGGCGTGATCAGTGTGCCACCTGGACGAGTACCCATTGGGGTCATGTGACGTCCGTAAGGTCCAAGAGTTGGTGGACCATTGGCCGGAGCAGATTGCTGTGTGAAAAATTAAGGTAGAGAGCACTTATTGAAATAGGTTTTGAGGCGAATGGC